CTCCCCTGCTGATCGAGCTACCGGGGGAAGAGTTATCCCGGGATTTATTAGTGTTATTATCATAATCATCATCATTATCATAATCATTATTATTATTATTATTATTATTATTCTGATGGAATCTGCAGGCGCGGGGAGCTCCGGAGAGCGGCAATAACTGAAGCCGCCTTGGGTTTCCTATTTACGTATTTATTTTATTCCGGTGGAGCGCTTCCAGATCTCGGCAGGCAGCCGTGGCCCCGGGGCAGAGGGGGCGAGGAGGCTGCGCTGGTTGGGCGTTTTTCTGACATGCTGTCACACTCCCCCCCCTGTTTCCCACCCTTCCCTTCCTCACACAGAGTGGGGTGCCAGGGTGGGGAACCCCAGTGCCCGCAGCCCCCTGGCCCCAAGCCCACCACCAGGGCAGGGCGGGGGGTCCCAAGCCCCTTGCAGAGTGGCTGCTGGCTCTGGTGCCACCAGGACTTGGTGCTGTGCAGTGGCACCTCGCTGGGCAGCTGGTGTGGACCCCCTCTTGCAGCCCAGCAGCCCCTGGGGGTGGGGTTTGGGGGGCTCCATCCCTGTGCTGTCCTGAGGAGGGGTGGAATAACCCCATCTGACCCTGGGCAGGGACCAGAGGGGGGAAAAGCAGAGAGGAAAGAAAGGGGGAGTGAGAATTTCTCCCTCCACATGGAGGATGTTTTATGCCAGCGTGAGGAGGCTTCAAACCAGCCCAGGTCGGGTGGGCTGGGAAGCTGAGACCTTCTATCCAGTCTGAGCATCTCCTTGCTGGCACCAGGTAGAGCAAGGAAGAGTCACCCCACTGCCACCTCTGACCCCAACCATGAGGGATGAGAGGGAACACTGGGCTGCCCCAAAGAGCCCTGCCAGGCTGGATGTGGCCTCTTGAGCCCCACAGAGGCTTTACTCCCACTCTGGTAACCCCATGCTTCAAATGAGGCTTTAGGGGTGCAGTGTGGGACAAAACCTGGCTCTAAACCAGCCCTGGAAGGTGACAAGCTGAGATACTCACGGGCTGAACCCCTTCTTTTGCCATCAGCACAGTGAGTCCAGGCACCCAGGAGTGCTTCCCTGGAGTATCCTGCCATGACCATTCCACAAGCCACAGCCTCCAGGGAGGTGACTCCCCATCCCCACATTTCTTGGGGGATAAAAAAAAAAAACCAGGACGTCTCTGTCGGGTTTGAGTGCCCGGATAAAATAACAGCACTGGGATCTGCCCCCTTCCTCCCCATGGCCTTGGCGGGGCGGACTAGGAAGAATGCAAGTTGGCTATCCATCAGGGAGACAGAGCAACAGCCAGCCGAAGAAAGAGGGGCATTTTAGGAGGAAAGCCAGGGAAATTTGATCATTAAGAAATCCTCCTGGCTGTCTGGGGGAATTTAATTAAATTGCTGGAAAGGGCTGTAAGCACATCTGGATCCAATATGTGCAGCTTTGATTTTTTTCTTTCTTTCTTTCTTTCTTT